ATTGATCTTCACTTCACTGTTTAAAATCACACTAATCAACTCGTTTCTACAAGTCCAGTCATCTTGAAACTGATGGCGGACATTAAACAAGTAGCTTCGTGTAGGCTATAGGGAAGTGTTGATGTTTTATTTTTTTATATTAAGTAACATTTCCACAATGTTTTCAATCAGCATTTCGGTAACGACAAAAGTTAAAATGTGGTTAATCAAAGCACATATTTTTACATTGACACAAACAAACACTCACCAGGAAGTAACCAGCAACAGTTTGCTCCTGAAACAAATCTGTTAGTATGATGCATCTCCAAATCATGTAACTCATTAATTATTACTTTATTAAAGATTTACAAAAGTTTATTACAAAAATAAGTGTTATGTTCCATTCTTAATCATGAATGAATGTTTGCAACTTATGTAATACGAGTCCCCTCTGTCTCAACATAAAGCAACTAAGGAAGAACTCAAAAGCACAAAAATATTGGAAAACGAAAGCATGTGCAGAACCTATAGGATTTAAGGGGTGTGAAAACTTAAGCACTCTTCTTAGGAAGTCTTAGGAAGCGGGTGCTTCCCTCACCAATCTGTTAAAACCGGAGCTGGATTTGGCATAGTGAGGGCATATAACATAAGCATAATAACTTAGGGGTAAAAGCATTATTTGATTATTGATCAATATTAATGCTCAGCTGTCTGGCAAAGAAAATGGTAGGAGCAAAGTGCCTAAGAAAGGAGAAAAAAAGTGGCTTGTAAAGCAACAATATTGGTCTCTCCATTTTGTTTATTGACAATTGTGTAAATCATAAAACTTCAAAATTCCAAACTTTACATTGATGTATGTAAAGTTTACATGTTAAAAGTTTCCCATTCAAAAAAGTGGCATAGAATCAGCCAAACACCTGCTTCCCTCACCAATCTGTTAAAACCGGAGCTGGATTTGGCATAGTGAGGGCATATAACATAAGCATAATAACTAATTAGGGGTAAAAGCATTATTTGATTATTGATCAATATTAATGCTCAGCTGTCTGGCAAAGAAAATGGTAGGAGCAAAGTGCCTAAGAAAGGAGAAAAAAAGTGGCTTGTAAAGCAACAATATTGGTCTCTCCATTTTGTTTATTGACAATTGTCTAAATCATAAAACTTCAAAATTCCAAACTTTACACTGATGTATGTAAAGTTTACATGTTAAAAGTTTCCCATTCAAAAAAGTGACATAGAATCAGCCAAACACCTGGCCTCGTTTTCTATCACAGCTGATTCGAGAAAAAAAAAAGGCCAAGACTTTTGCGCATGCAGGCATAGCTTAAATCATATTATATGTCTGCTGCCAAACGTTCCATGAAGAAAAGAGGAGTGTGGTGAAAAGAATGTGTGGTTTCCTATTTTACAAATGGAAAAAAAGAACACATGGTACACATAGAGCTCTGTGTAGACTCTGGTAGCTGCAAACATCGAAGTGAATTCAAACTAGTCGCAGGTAGGCTGTCATTTATGATTTTATGGCATGAAATCAAGAAAAGGCAAATATTCAGCAAGTTGATTTTGTCCTTATTAATACACCACAGCTATTGGTGTGTGTGTGTGTGTGTATGTGTATGTTAGACCAGTTTATGTGTTTATGTAGTATGTTAGACTAGTTTAAGTGTTTATGTAGTTAATAAAACCTTACTTGTATCACACTTGACGTGGTTCATTGTTTGCTTATAACTGGAGTCACTTAATCATGCAGATTTATGCTACAAGCTTTTGTAGAATTGTACAGTAAGGAAGTTATTTCCCTTAACCAGGAAATTAACGTTCTTAGAATTGACAAGACAGTTGACCCTGAGAGGTCAGCTAAATATCTACAGCGGATCTAAAATATGAATAATTATGGTTAATTATTCATATTTCCTCATGAGCTGATTCGTTACAAAGACATATTCATTCATTCTGCTGATATGAATAATAACTATTTTTTCATTAAAGTGAATCTGTCCAGAATATAAAGAACGTGTGAACGGGACTACAGACTATATGAGATAAAAGCAGCCCAAATTATTTCAGATGATGTCATTGCTACAGAAATCCTGTAAACGTTTGATGCCGTCTGCTCTGTTACACTGAGCATTTTGTTATTTGGATTTCTGGCTGTGATGAATTGTAACTTCACATGCTCGTGTAGATCTGATCAGAATACAACACTAACAGTGTCCATCTTCATTGGACCTGCTTTTTGCCTTGGTTATATTGTTCCATATTTTAAGGCCTCTTAGATATGGAAGGTTTCATTGCCCTGAAGAAACATATGATGATACTCACAGAACTGTCCTAAAGCTCTCATATCTCGCCTGATTGCATCTGTAATGTGAATCTTCATGTTGTTACTTGATGGGGATTATGTTGCTTGTGCCATAACAGAATGGAAGGGAGTTTATGCTCATGATTTTGAGTTAAACAAGTCATGGTGTAAACCTATGGAAGGGTTGTGAAATGAGACCGAGCTATGAGATTTGATCAGCAAATATATTCATCAGTCTCAGGTAAGTAGCATGAATTACATCTGACTAGGGATGTAACGATTAACCGGGAGCCGGTTAAAAATCGATTCAAATCTGTGACGATTCAAATCGGTTGAGATGCTAAACAATTGCGATTAATTTAGGGGCAGGAGTTTATATGAATATATGTCTGAGGGGAACTTACTGTCTTTAGAAAAGTTTAGATGGTATTTTTTCTTTTCTTTTCATCTTGCTTCTGTATAATGCATATTAAAGTTCATAAGTGCAGCGCTGCTTTGTTTACAGCAGAAACGCTTTAAGCGCCACCTACTGGCAGAGTGTGAATCTGCGTCTCGTTCAGCTCGTCTGCCGTTTCTGTTTCATGCAGATATTTTTTTATGTATAGTTTCACAAAACTGAAGTCAAACCATTCTGTTTTTGCTTCAAATTTCGAAATTATACAATCTAATTTAGATTAAAAACTGCTCATGTTGCATGTATGCAGCATCTTTGTTTGGATCGTGATTAAAATGCAGTGGTTGCCTCTCATTTTAAATGGAAAGAGCACAGACAAAGCCTTAGTTTGTTTATATGAAGAGATGTATTTTATTTGTGTTACTTATTTATTTGATTTGGGGCTTGTTTTAAAATGTCAATTTAGTTTTGTTATTTACATTTACATTATATTTAAATTTTGTCATTTAGCAGACACTTTTATCCAAAGCGACTTACAAATGAGGACAATAGAAGCAATCAAAACCAACAAAAGAGCAATAATATGCAAGTGCTATATTATATTATTATAGTGTTATTTCAATTTCACAAAGAAACGTGTAGCATTTTGTCCAAGCAATAATAAAAGGACACCTTTAATTTATAATTTGTCTTAAATCTCATTTTGTAAAAAAAAAAAAAATTGTGAATCGAATCGAATCATGAATTGAGCGAGTCGTTACATCCCTACATCTGACGTACAAAAAACACAAAATACATTCAACTTGTTTTTTTTGTTCTTCCTCTTTCAGTATGCAGGTCATGTTCACTGTCTTTAGTGCCTTGTTGCTTGCTGTCGTGGGTATTTATGACTGCTGCATTATGTGACTGCTGCCCAAGTCGACTGTTGTTATTCTGCAGAGGAATAGAGAGAAATAGTGAAGCAAGTGATCAAGGACAGGATGATGTAGAGCTCAGCCCCACCTCCACCATAAGTACACCCACTTGTTGAAGAGAATAAAAGAGAATAAATAGATACATTTTCTTAATTCTCTTTAGAGAGAGAGAGAGAGAAAGAAGGTCCTTTAATTTTCCATTACAAAATTATTTCAATACAACCATTCCACAAAAATTTTTACATTTTCCAAGCACAAAATCAATATAAATATTTACTTAAGTTTGAACCCATCTCAAAAAATATTTACTTTAAAACATCCAAAAACAACAGGTTCACATAAACAACCATCAGCTCCCCAGAAATGATAAAAATACATCACATTATTTGTGAGATTATAAAAAGCATATTAAAAAAGTTGATCTTCTTTTAACAAAAAAATTTGCCATAAGAACAAGATCTGTTTCAACCCCCTTTTTCTTCCACTTTATTTTTCTTAGTACACCAAATTGCTAATTTAGTAATAAGAGTCAAAAGTGACTCTTTTTGATGGTAATGAATGTGGTAGAATGGGAGTGAGAATGCCATCAAGTATGATTCCCCTCTGAGCTAACTTATTGGCTTTTTCTATTGTACTCAAAAAGATAATCAATAGCGCTGTTCATCCTAGAGGCAGACAATACAATTGTGTGTCCCACAATTTCCCCCACAGCTAAACAGCAACTCTCCACACTCACTGTAGAGGCCACTTTTATACCGTGATGACGTGTGACACATGCACATGCACCCACCGTGCTTCCCAAACGCCTAAAACCCCACCCCCCTACAAAACAAAACCCAAACTGTGCTTAAACTATGAAAAAAAAAACTAAACTCAAACACGAGAGTCGCCACTCGTTCTCACTCACAACACCCCACTCACTCCCAGCATGCACTCCACAAGAGAGAGAGAGAAAGAGACCAACATTTTACCTTGTCTTTTTTTTTCCAATAACCCAACAAAGCAGCACTATAAGATTAAGTGTAAATATATGCTGTATGCTGTCATGTACCATGATATGGGATACTACTGTTTGTTTTCATTTTGTTGGACAAACACGATCTAATTTAGTTCTGATGAATTTCATTGAATTTAGTTAAATGGAGCGTTTTTGAATGACTCCCAATATAAAAGAATGAAGTTGACTCCTGTTCGCTTGAATGGTTTCCATTGTTCTTTTTCAATGTTCCTTGTCTCGTAGTTTATAATTAATGAACATGTAAATAGTTAATAATAAAGATCCTGAGTTGCTGTATATGAGATTCGCTGTTACACATTGTTCTGTGAGCAGATATAGATGATCTATTCTTTTTAAAATGTCTCAGTCCTTCAGTGGGTCTGAAGTAAGCAGGTTTCTTGTTGTCCAAAAAAGATGGTGTTTCTTGAGTTGTTTTCGAAGAATTCCGATAAACCTGAAAGACATACAGCTTCTTTTAGTGCACTGCATTTTAGCTTTGCATTGATTGGTCTGGAGAAATTGATGGATCGGGAATTTTCGTGCCCATGTAACCCTGGGTTTAACATGGTGCTGATAAGTTTCATCTTTCTTGGACCTGCTCTTCTAGCTCTGACTATGATGATGTTCATCCAAAGACCCTGCAGACGTTCGTCTTCTCATTGTGCTGGGATATTTTTATTTAGTCTCATTCCATCGGCATTGTGGATGTTTCTGTTGCTGTTTGAGGGTGAATATGTTGCGTGTGGCATGGCACACTGGGAAGGAGATTATGTTTTGGATGAAGAGCTCCAGATTAAATGGTGCAAACCCACTGGAGTAAGGGACGGCAAAGTGAACAGAACAGAACTGCTGGAACTGACCGAAAAAATCGTTTTCTACTCAAGAGTGAGTCTACTGTACAACTTTTTTTGTCAACTTTATATATATCATATTTATAATCTTATTGTGTGTGTTTGTTTTATTAGTTTTCAGCTTTAGTTCTGCTCACATTCCTCGCTGTTGTTGTCATTGCTGCTGTGAGCGTTTGGGATTGCAGAACGAGATGTCTGGAGCATCAGGAAAAGCAGGATAAACCAGCACAACTATCAGAATCATCCATCTACGGTTCAGAGGTTGAACTACAGCGAGCTGCCTGACCTCATCAGGGTGATCTGCTTACAAATCCACCTAAATTAAGACTGTTACAGGGAACAGCTTGAATGATGGGTCATTTCTAGGGTGACGTCTGCTGATTTGACAAAACTATCTGGATTTACTGCATTTGTACCTGATGAATTGTTCGCTAGCGCATCTCTGTGGTTTGCTGTATTGTCTTGGTGTAACTATATATATGTTCAATTGAATTCGACCTTCTAGCTGTGTTAAGTAAAATGCATGATAATAGTGTGTATGTGAAATATAATAATTAAAACAATGTAAACCCAATCGTTGTTTTAAAATATACAATGTCTTAATGTTACTCACAAAGTAAAGTGACTCACTCAGAAAAATTTACTTTCTGAATGGTTTAAAATGCTGTTTAATATATTGAATTATTTTAAACGTGACTTAAAAGCTATTTGTATCATATTCCTGTAGTAAAGAGTAAAATTAAGGTGAAACTACAATCTTTCACAGCGATGACTGAAATGCATTTTTACTGGGAAAAAAATGTAAATCAATTTAACCTTCTCTTCTAGCAGTTTAATTCATATGGTAAACAAGTTTTAAAAGTCGAAACAACTTGGAAAAACATTAACAAATCTGTAACACACAAACACACACACACACAACATCAAACTGTTAACCATCTCAAAGAATTAACAAACTCATCAAAAATGCAAATGCATTTCAGCTTTTTTCATAAGAGCATGAATTCTCACACTGCCTATTCAAATGTACTATGATTCTCAAAATACACAGGGTGGCGATCGCTCGTTGTATTTAGACAGAAATCTGAAGCCTGTTGTTGAGCAATGTGACATTTATACCTGTTTGCTTCTCCCCAGATTCTGAATGCACAAATCAGTATTAGTAATTGAGATTGACAGAATCGACTGACCAATCACAAGTGCCGGAAGAGTACTGAAAGTAAATTTTTACATTGAAAGTAAAAATGTTGAAAAAGAACCCAAAACACTTACCTGTTTGCGACACTATTATCACCTGTATGAGTATGTTTAAAAACACTCTTTTACTCTGCTATTGTATTACCTGTACTAAAGAAATGTTAAATGATTCTTGTTCTTTTCATTGAAAACTTGCGGAAGAAACGACAGACATTTCAAACTGTAAGAGAGGAGCAGCCGGAATTACTTGAGACAGAATTCCTGCGGCTTTGAAGACACAACTAAAAACTTTTTGTTAAAGTAGCAGTTAAGCTGATTTCCAAGAAAAATGCCATCACCTCTGTTCCATTGAGCTTTATGATGCTATGCGTTGATCGGCGTTGATTGATGTCCAGTTCTCATGCCCATGCAAAGTTAAGTGGAACGCACTTATATTAGGTTTTCTCTTCATTGTGTGTGGTGTGATACTTTGTTGTTTGTATCATTGCAGACTGAGCAGGAAATCATCCAGTCATGTTTGACTGGTTTGTGACTAAACCTAGTCGATGAATCAAAGTACAGATCCTGTCTTTAGCTTTTGGGTTTGTTGATGTTGTCGCAGCATGTGTGCATTTGTAGTTGTTTCTACAATACGACGTATACATGTTTCGGTGTATAAAAAGAGCTCTTGCTAAGTAAAAGTGAAAACATTCATAACCTACCTCTGGGTATTGTGTTTGCAGTCTTGGGAATCAGTCATTTAGGAATGTTTAAATAAGACAACAACATGTTAACACAGTTTTGAATGAAACTAATTATATAAGCTTCATAGGCTATGCAAATCTGGTGTACTTCACTCCTGCAGATTTCAAGAAAAAGTAGCAGCCTAAAAAAATAGTTTTATTTGTGTGTGTTTCGCTTGCAAATGATGTCGAGTTGCAATAATGGCCTTTTGGTGTCTGTTAAATTGCATTTCGGTGGCACGTCTTCATGATAAGTCTACAAATCCACAAATGTATGGAACACGCAAACTCAAGACACGTTGTCTCAGGCATTGGCTTATGACATAATTTTCACACCCTAAGGTAAATTATAGCAAAACTTTAAGAGCAAAGTCAGGTTTATTCTTCATTTGCTCAGTTTACACAGTGCAGAGAGGGCATTGACGACACAACAATTTGACATATAGCCCTTTACATTTTTACTTTATAATATAAAAAAATGAAAGTGAAGCGTAAAAGGTAGGAATGCATTGTTAGATAATGTATACTCAAGAGCACCCTGAGAATGTTAGCCATTCAGCAGAGGTATTTAAGGGGAAGAAGGAAATAGTGCTGGGACCTGCCCATGCTTCAGTATACAGTATTTGACAAGTCAGGGATCTGTGGAAACAATAGACAGCAGAGCAGATATAGTCTAAAAACCACTGTCCATTGCATCATCTGATAACAAATCTATAGGACATTTTTTATTCTTCTTTTCTGAGAACCACATTGTTTTTAAAGGTAATGCCCTTTGCATTATTAACCTTTGTCGATATTATGTTACATTACGCTTGTGTGTTAATCTGATGTTTTATTATTGTAATATGTTAAATTGTTTATCTGTAATTCTAAAAAAAATTATGTAGATGGAATTTTAATGTGATCAAGATTAATCGGATGTATTTGTGCTCTGCAAATGTTCATCTCATAAAAACAGTTTTGATAAATGGCTATTGTTAATGATTATTATTCTATTGATCAAACAGAATCAGCTCACCAACTCTTTCGTATTTCCACAGACAAAGAACAAAATCATCGAAGGTAGCTGTGGTGTGTTGTCTTGCCCTTAAAAGATGTCAGTGCTACAAAACCTTTCCAAGTACTTTAAGAGCCAGCTGGAAAAAACTGCTGTTTTCACCTCTTTCCACTGAGCCTTTTGTTATTTGGATTAGAGACATTGCTTGACGTTCAATTTTCATGTCCATGTGGAAGCTTTTGGCATAAAGAACTACCGAGTTTAATGTTCGCTGGACCTCCTTGTTTTACTTTTATGTTAATGTTCCTTCTAACAAGACCTTTGAAAAACACCAATATCCGGTGTTTCCAAGGATGCGTCTGTGCAACATGCCAGAACAAAAAGAAAAGATGCAATACTTTCTGTCTCCGTCTTAAATCTTTCCTGCACTGCCTAATTCCTCCCTTGGTTTGGGTAGTGCTCTTTTTTATGATGGTGATTATATTGCCTGTGGTCTATCAGACTGGAAAGGAGTGTATGTTTACGATGAAGTGCTGCAAACAAAATGGTGTAAACCCACTGGAGAGGACGCAGACCGAGAGACTCAACTACGAGATCGGACTCTTGATAATATTGTGTGGTCAAAGGTAGGTGTCATGTTCTGTATTTGTAATATTAATTGTATGTAATAATAGTAATTAATAGTAACTGTATGTATTTACAAGTTTTTTTTTTTTTTTATTTGAGTAATTCGACTCAGCATTATTATTTCTAATATATATGTCAAAATATTAACACTATTAACACAAATTAAATACACAAGCTTAAAAGTCTAACATGCCTAGTTCATATCATAATCCAACTATGCACAGTAGTACTATTATTAACACATATTTATCTGCATTGTCTTTCACAGGGGATAAGTTATATTCTATTCATTGTCTTCAGCATTTTAACAGTTTTGGTTGTGACTGTGTACGACTTGTGCGGATGTGGAGAAAAGAGCAGCTCCAGAAACACAGACACAGACACACTGCACTTCACTGTTTGGTAGATGAAATGCTTGTGCCAAATTGTCATCCTTCATAACGGGTTTGTCTTGCAATAAAGTCATGCAAAAATGTATTTCTCCAAAGGTTGCTTCATTTGTAGAAACCTCAATTCAAATTTCTAATGTCAGAGTGAATCAGACTAGCTCTGATCTAGCATAACAAACGCTAAAATGTCACATTAAAAGTTTTCCAATTCTAAATTGTACGTTTTCAAACTTATATTAGCCTACTCATTTTTAGTTTGTCATACAGTAAAAAAAAAAGAAGAAGAAGGTTTTATTAGCAGCTAAAATCTGCAGGTGTATGATATATTCATAATCATTTATATTCATTTTGGTAGAGTTTCAAAGTTTTTCGCTGCAGATTTCAAGAACTTTGAGAACAATGTGAATAAATGAATCCTCTAATCCACATGTCTTGTATGTTTTTATCTACGCCTCGTGTCACCTGCGAGTAATCTAGCTGGTAATCCAGTGAAAGAGTTGTCCCGCACTCAAGTCCCCAGGAGTTCTTCAGAAACTTTTGTGAGTATTTAAAAGCAGCAGGGGGCACTGAAAGTTCCTGTCAAACTAAATCCCACTCACACACCAGCCGGTGAACAGGAACATAAAAACCCCACTCAGAGATTAGAAACGCCGTTTAAGATCCTTAAAACTGATGAAATGCAGAGATCTGTCTGCTGCACAAGTGAGTTTTTGCAAGAATAAGAAAAGTTAGTAACCTTAAAGTTTTTAAATGTTAATAGCAGATATTTGTGCAGATTGTTTGTGGCAATGGACTCAGTTTCTTTCCTTTTAAACAAAGCAGAGATGAAGGTCGTTGTGTTCCCTCAAAAGATTATAAGCGTCTTTATGAACTAAACAGGAAAACAGATCTTTGATCAATTTTTTGTCCAGACTGTGACATATAAATGCGACCACAAATAAGCATGTGCGACAATTCTTTAAATAATTTAACATTTTGTTGGGGAAACTTTGTGTGTTCCATGCCGTTTCATCATAAATTATTTCAGATCACTCCACAATGAACACAGAGCGAATCGTTTGTCTGAATCCCAAAATGACTCTTGCGAACAGGTTCTGTTTAATAAGTCATTTAAAAAGATTCACAAAACCGTCCTCTCACTCGCTCGTAGCTATTTGAATTAGACTTACTAAGTGAATCGTTCATAGCCGTTAATTTCACCTCGCCTCACTGAACATTTTTCAGGTAGGCCTAAAGCACAGAGACTATTTTTCCTGAAACTTTCTAATAATTCATTTGCATGAAAAAAGCGATTTCTCCATCAATTCTATTCATATCCTGTTTTCAGCTTTGAATGTTTCTAGTTTTGAATGA